CCCCCCCCTCAGAGTGAGGGGGCGAGCCCCATAGCTGGGTTCCCCCCTTACCTTGCTGAGCCCCCAAGTCCCTCGCGGCCAGCAGGGCCACGGCCAGAGGCAGGAGAGGGAGGCGCATGGTGGTGGGGTGAGGGGCCTGCGGCCGTGGAGTGCACCTGCTTCTGGGGAGGGGCGCTCACCCGGCTACTGAGAAGAGGAAGCCGCACCCACAGGGTGTGACAAGGGGTTTTGTGCAAGATCCTCTAGTCCTACCCCCCACGGGGCCAGGAACCCAGGGCTCCGGGCCTGAGCCTGCTGTGGCTTTAACCACTAGCCCCCACTGCCAGCAAAATAACCCCAAACCGCTGTGTCGCCCCTACCCCCCTTCTTTCCCAGGGCTGGGGAGGGAACCCAGGAATCCTGGCTCACTGGCAACCGGCCTGCATTAGAGGCAGCTGTGGGGTGGGGCGCAGAGGCTGGTCCTACGGCCCAGTGCTGCGATACCGCTCACTCTGGGGGCACAGCCGCTGCATCGAAGTCTGGGGCAGGCAGTGATGGGGAACCGAGGTCTGCTTGAACCCCGTCCCCACTGCTTGGACCTGGGCCCAAAGGGGCGGGGTCGGTGAGGACAAAGACGAGACACAAGAGGGGTGCAAGGGTGGAGTTTAATGCCGTAAGGTGTTAAAATCCTGTGACAGAGAGTTCCACAGGTTAACAGCAACTGGTAGCTGCTTCCAGCGGAGTTTTCCATCCCCGGGGAGACAGGAGTGGTCCATTCAGATAACGATGGGGGTGGTGATGGGGTGGGGGGGTGTCAGACAATAGTAGCATAGACCGTGGGCCCATCCGGGGGAGACAGGAAGCCATGAGCTGCTGGGGGGTGTGCCACTTCAGCGTAAAGGAGGGTGTTTGGGACCTGGGAAGAGAAGGGTAAAAAGAGATGGAGAGGCCCCTGCTACTCCAGCCCTGCCCCCCGACTCTGCCGCTGGCCCTCGTTCCTGACCCGCAGCCCCTGCGTCCCTCACCTTCCCTTCCCCATTCAGGGGCACCAGGCATCTGTCGGTCGATTTGTCTCCAAGCCGTGGCTCTTCCAAGGGGGATAAACTGAGGCCAGGGGCCCCTTAGTGCAGGATGGAGAGAAGGGGAAAAAAAAATGAAAAAAGGGAAGAAGAGAGTTGGAGGAGGTGGGGGAGAATCTAAATCCACCTGTGGAACTGTCCGCCGCTGGCTTCCCTCAGAGGGGAAAAAGCCAGGAAGGTTACAGGTCCAGCTGCTCAGGCAGGGGCTGGGGGAATCCATTCTACACTCAGCTGAGGAGGTGGGATACAAGGGTAGATGGGCCCAGGGGTCTGACCTTTGGTGGCAGCGGTGGGATACCAGGCTTGTGGGTGGGGTTTATTTCCCTGCCTCACCTGTTTCGGTCTCACGGTTCTTTGGATCCCGTCGGGACCTGGAAGGGGGGGGAGAAAGGGGAAGGTTCCAGATGAAAAGGTTTCCTCCTCCCCCCTCCTGAGTCCATCCCTCTCCCCCGCACACCTTGGATTTTGCTCTGTGGATTGGTGGCTCTTCCTCCTCCTCCCCCCCCGCACTTAGTGCCACGGGGGGGGGGGGCGGGGGCCCG